CATGGTAACTACAAATTAACCACGGCTTTGCTACACTAACTATTTAACCATGATATTTGTAGTAAAACTGGTTGTACAAATGGTAGTAGCGTGCATAAAAGTCACATCCTTTTGATTTTACATAAAAACCAGTCTTTACTGACTTTCATTGACAACTTAAGAAGACAGGGAAGTCTTGTTTTTTTTTTAGAAGTTTGATTACAAGCTGTTCACACATTGGCAATAAAAAAAGCAATTAATACGTGAAAATACTTACATATAGCCCCTTTAAGGAAAATCAATACAATTTCAAACAAATTGAAACATGGGGCAAATTAAATGTTTGTGTGAGATTATAATATGCTTTGCCTTAATGGATAAAATATAGTATTATAATCATACCCTAAATTGCAGAATGACTCATATTCAGCATAAATTATTTTTAAAATGCAGTGCCTGTGCACTTTCAGTGGACCATCATATTCATTAGAGCTGTAATCTGTTTAAGTCTCGATGTTGTTTCAAGTGAAAATATCAGCACAAATATATCTATGTACACAGTGTTGTGGACACTAGTAGCGATTCAGAAAAGATGAATCACTGTCTGGTTTCATTAGTGTTGAACGCTGCATCACTGTTTTCAGCCTCTCGTAGACCTATGAGCAGAGACGACTTCAGCAGCAAAGAATGTGATTCATTTAGAAGTGGGTTATGAAAGCTAGTTTGTGGGTGGAGTGCATGCCATGTGCTTTGTCTCCCACTAAAAGGCACCGAAATGTGTTTCATTAAAAAAAAAAAGTCTTGATGGAGAGTCAACCGTGCATCTTTTTTACCCCATCTAACGAGTGACTCATTTACCACAGATATATTTTGCCATAGTTCTTCTCCAGCGCTCTCTTATTAGCGGTGTGACACTTTCTGAAAAGTTCTCCGTTCTTTTTGAGGTTTTCCCAACATGGAGAACAATATGTCTAAAAGGGAAACACATGTACGAATGGAGAGAGTACAAAGACGAGGCTGATGAGAACATTGAAGCCTGTGCATGTGAATGGAAAACAGATATTTGCCTGCTGGAATTCTTCTTTAGCTGAACTGAAATGCATATACACATAAAAAATGCAACCAGTTTCAATGTAGTATCAGTGCATTTATTTTATTTAGCCGGTTGTTTATAGTGACAGATAAGATGTTTTTCAAAATGATAAAAAACAAAAAAACACATTTTATATGAATGTGACACGTTCTTAAAAGTGATATTTTTTTCTTTCTTAACAAATGTTGGATTTATAAGTTTATGGGAGAAAGAAAAAAAAATCTGTTTTATTTGTTTGTTTGGTTATAACATAAAATTAAGTAAAATTAAATACTTTTACCTTGAATACATATGCACACGTCTTAATTATTATTATTTTAAATCATTTTTTAAGTTTACCACTTGAAAACTGTGTCATGAAATGTTTAATTGTCAATGCATACACAGATGAATGTGAACCCAATTGCAGGGATATATTTTAAATATATGCTAAATAAATGTTAAAAGCAGCTCAATTAAATATATATATTTTTTTACTTGAAAAAATATTTAGTTTCATCCTTCATACATCTAGGCTAAATGCAAATGTGGATGGAATAGCCTACTAGAGATCAAAACTAGATTTATAATGATTTAATAATGTTTCTTTTTTATATATATATTGCGATTTATATTTGGAAATTGTAAAGTATATGCTCCTTGCTGATTTCAAATGATCTATATGTTCACATGTGCAAGACAAAAATGTGCTATTTTTTTACTTGAAAATATATTTAGTTTCATCCTTCATACATCTAGGCTAAATGCAAATGTGGATGGAATAGCCTACTAGAGATCAAAACTAGATTTATAATGATTTAATAATGTTTCTTTTTTATATATATATTGCGATTTATATTTGGAAATTGTAAAGTATATGCTCCTTGCTGATTTCATTGCTGATGTGCAAGACAAAAATGTGCTCAAGTGTGACATATGTGAATGTATTTTCTTGGACTGAAATATGTCAAATATGTGGAGGGCAAAATATATTTTTAAATACTTTAAAATATATATATATTTATGTTTTTTAAATATATTTTTAGAAATACACAAATATAGAAAATATATGGCAGAAAATATATTTGCATAAAATTATTTCGAAACATTTTGGCAAAACATATTTTGACCATTTTCTGTATATTTTGACATATATTTTAATATATGAAGAGAGAAAAAAATGATATATATATATATATTATTGTATATTCATTTGTTTGAAAATAAAAATCCTGAAAAAGTACATGCATTTCACATTCTGTTGCTAATTAATTTGCTTATAGAGTATTTTGCATTTTATACTATTACCAGAGTATATCAAATTTAGTTTTTTCAAATGTTCTAATTGTGCAACTGTGGATTACATTACAGTGGATACAAAATGTGTGTGTGTGTGTGTGTGTATATATATATATATAATGAATAGAAAATTCATATATCATGCAAATAAGAGTTTGCATTGCACATTACACAAGAAAACTATGTAGAATGAATGTCATCATCTCTTTGCATTTCTTTCTTATTGTTTAATCTACTGCTTAAAGACACACACACACACATCTATTTTTTTTCCTCAAATTGCAATGTTTCACCTGTTTTCACTTATTCTGCTATTCTTTATGCCTATTAATATGTGAGAGCCCAGCTCTAATCCACTTGCTTTGCATCTCGTGAATCTGACCCAAATTCATTGCTTCCCTTGTGTGCCTCCTTTCCTTTTTTAAAATATTATTAATATTGACGTGTAAGAGACCCTACTGACCTGCCTATATTCTTGCGATGAAAAAAAAAAAGATGGAAATCAATCTTTTTTTTCTGAAGCAGTGCGTAACTTTATTTATGTAAGCGCAGTATACTCTTAAAAATAAAGGTGCTTCAAAGGTTCTTCAAGCGATGCCGTAGAAGAACCATTTTTGGTTCCACAAAGAAGCATTCAGTCAAAGGTTCTTTAAAGAACCATCTCTTTCTTACCTTTTTATAATCTGAAGAACCTTCTTTCGCCACAAAGAACCTTTTGTGAAGCAGAAAGGTTCTTCAGATGTTAAAGGTTCTTTATGGAACCATTTAGACAGAAAGGTTCTTCTATGGCATCGTGAAGCACCTTTATTTTTAAGAGTGTATAGCAAAATGAGAAAATCTGTTGTTCCTTCAGATATACAGTATGCTGGTGAGGAAATGAAGATGGTGCCTTGAAACAAATCTCTTTACTTTTCTCATGCTCTCTTTGCAGCTGAGTTTGGGTGTACAATGGTAAAGTGATTACACGATTGAAATGTGTTTGTAATAATTGTCTGTAATGTTAAGATGTTCAAAAAGGCAATACTGTAATCAGGGTTATTAGAGTTAAATAAAACTAAAATTAAAACCATAAAAATATTTGTATTGCTTGAAGTCAAATAAACATGAACTGAAATCAACTAAAGTATAAAATAATTGTATTTATTAAACAGTTCTCATTTTAATTTAGTTTAACTCAATGCATTAAAATAACTAAAATGAAATGAAATTACATAGACAAAAACGACTAAAACTGACAAAAACATACAACAAAATTACTAAAACTTTAATTAAAATTAAAATGAAAACTTATATATAAATATATATATTTGTAACTGATTACATATAATCACATGTAATCTGGATTGTGTAATCAGATTCCAAAAAGTATGTACTTGTAATTACATTTTAAAATACTAATAATGTTACTTTTTATTAGATTACATGATTACAAACCCCTGCGGTTCAATCTCAAACCCCAGTTTGGGAATGGAATAGATTTTCTTGCGAGTTTGATCAATCAAAAAAAAAATAAAAAATAATAATAATAATAATAATAACTAACTAAATAAATAAATATGAATAAAAGAATAAAATAAAATAAAAGTAGCCCGAAAACATCACCTAATGTGTAATCATCCAATAGATCACGTTACAAACTACAATTAGTAATCAGTAACGGATTAAGTCATGTAAATAATACTTTGACTTTGAATTAAAACCAGTCCATTTGGATGCTAATGCTTGAGCCTTTAGGTGACAGCATGGGTTTTTGTAATGAAAAACGGTCCGCAAACTGTAACTAACTAGGACTGCAGTAGCTGTATTGAAAAAGTTTCAATTACTGTTGCTACAGTTCGTTTGGTAAAATACAATGTACAATGGTAAAGTGATTACACGATTGAAATATGTTTGTAATAATTGTCTGTAATGTTAAGATGTTCAAAAAGGCAATACTGTAATCAGGGTTATTAGAGTTAAATAAAACTAAAATTAAAACCATAAAAATATTTGTATTGCTTGAAGTCAAATAAACATGAACTGAAATCAACTAAAGTATAAAATAATTGTATTTATTAAACAGTTCTCATTTTAATTTAGTTTAACTCAATGCATTAAAATAACTAAAATGAAATGAAATTACATAGACAAAAACGACTAAAACTGACAAAAACATACAACAAAATTACTAAAACTTTAATTAAAATTAAAATGAAAACTTATATATAAATATATATATTTGTAACTGATTACATATAATCACATGTAATCTGGATTGTGTAATCAGATTCCAAAAAGTATGTACTTGTAATTACATTTTAAAATACTAATAATGTTACTTTTTATTAGATTACATGATTACAAACCCCTGCGGTTCAATCTCAAACCCCAGTTTGGGAATGGAATAGATTTTCTTGCGAGTTTGATCAATCAAAAAAAAAATAAAAAATAATAATAATAATAATAATAACTAACTAAATAAATAAATATGAATAAAAGAATAAAATAAAATAAAAGTAGCCCGAAAACATCACCTAATGTGTAATCATCCAATAGATCACGTTACAAACTACAATTAGTAATCAGTAACGGATTACAATGTGTAACCTAACTAAGCAGCACTGTATATAAAGTATCTGGACAAGGCTCAGAACGCAGAGCAGTGCTTTGGAGGAAGTACGCGTTTATATCAGCGTCCCAAGGCAAACTTTTGGCAGTGTTTGAACAGTTGTTGAGAAGAGAGGCTTCCTTGAGGTTTATGGCCCCTTGCATGGGTTTGACTTTGTAGGCCAGGTGCCGCTCCGCTCCGCGTTGAACCCCAGCGCGTGTTTTCCAGCGCGCCTCTGCAGTGAGACACGCAGCCGGCTCGACGCGCAAGCCGTCTTTCTGCTCCTGGATCGAGCTTCACTTCCCGCAGTAATACGAAACGAGTGGAATTGCACTCAAGTTTTTTGAAAACGACTGAGTGTGCGGAAAGTCCCGTCCCGGTCCCGCAAACGGGCGCTCAGAGGTAAACGGGTCGGGCCATCGCGGCGACGAAGAGGCGCGGGACTCTGATTTAAACGCGCATTCATTGCGCTCTGCCCGAAACCGAGTGTTGCATGGAGCGGGACAACCCCAGCTGTTGGAAACGACGAAATGCTCCTTTTTAATGTGCCCTGGGTGCTCGCTTTTCTCAGCTTTCCATATTCGTAGGCCTAATGTGGGTTTGTGGACTGCGCGGATCTGCGATCTACCTGAGCGCGCGATGAAAGTCTTTGTGCGCTGATTTAGAGGTGACTTAGAAACCCTCGCTTTTTATTGCGTCAGTAGATCTGCTGGGACTGTTCCTCAATCTGTGAGTATCATTCACACTATCCATATCGACATTTTACGCACTACGCGTCTGAATACCGTGGTTTTTTTCCCCCTCTCTCTTTTGCATTTCTACACATCCACAGACTCGGGTGTTAAAACACTGGGACAGGAGGATCAAGATCTCACTTAGTACTTTTTGAAGATGTAATTAAAGGGTTGAAAGCATGCAGGGTCGCCTAATTGTGCGTGCATTGTTTTCAGTAATGTAAAAACGGGGCAGTTTATCTTTGAAATACTTTTTTTTTTTTTTTTTCTTTGAAAAGAACAGGATGAAGGCCAGATGGGATTTCGGTAGGGGGCAATACATCATGCTTATCTGTCGTGCAGTTATCTCTATAGGACAAATGCAGAGACCAGTGCAATACAATGAAAATTTATGGGGCAAAAACACTAGCATAGCACAGAATAGTATCGCAAACTATAGCTAAAAGCCCACTTTAATTTTCCATTCTGGCTTTTGTGACTCACAATATGTGTGTGTGTGATTTGGCATATTACAATATTTTATTTATATATTGAAATAAATAAAATATTGTAGTATGCTATTTTGGGACAAGCCCTTTTTCAATAAAATTGCACAAAATAAATTTCAGTTGATTTTGTTTGCCTTTTGAAGGTCGATGCACTGCAGCTAAATTAAGATCATTTTACTGCACATGCATTATTAACCATGCTATGAGCTGCTCATGTCACAGTTATCTCCTGAGAAACACACTCATGGAGCTCGCGTTTGTCATTTGAATCTATGCAGAGCATTTGATGGTGTATCTTCTGCTGTTTGCCACATACAGGCAATAACACAATCAAATGCAAAGATTTGTAATGGAAACGAAGCATTTTCACATTTTGCCTCGATATATTACGTAACTTAAAAAAATACTTATGCAAGCTTCAGTTTGGATCTTAAACAGCAACACAGTTGTCACATTTGAATTCGGATTAGGTGTTCACAGAGGACGTTCAAAAACAGTACAATAGAGCACAGCTAAATAAACCTGAAAGCAAGCTCTCATGTACAACATGATGTGACACATGAGCACAAACAATAAAAAAAAAAACTGAATGCATTTGACTTTAATTAGCCTACCTAATTTGGCAAGTATGCAGATAACCTAAAGATATATAAATAAATAAAGGACTCATCCGCATGGAAACCCCTGCAGTTTACGTTTGAAATGTATGAAATGTTCAGCCTCATATCTGTATTATGAGTCATTGTTTAGTTCATTTGAATGCAGAGAGTGAACTCACATGAACAAATGCGCAGTTGTGGCGCGCTCCATTTGTTGTGCATGTCTTTAGAGGAAGTGCCATCTCAGCTCACATCAACTGTCTGTGATTTCTAGCGCTTCGTTTCCAAGCGTGCATTTACATAACAAAGTGCTTGCTAAAGACTTGAACCAGCATCACCACCACCACCACCCACTCTCAAAGTATGGCTAAACTGAGGCGCACAGTTAGTCTTAGATCTTAGAAATGTAAGCGTTTTGCCATTTATACTACACTTTAAAAAAAACAAAGACCGGTTCTTTATTGGCGTCTACACTCTAAAAATGCTGGGTTACATACAAACCAGTGCTGGGTAAAATAGGGACAAACCCAGCAAGTGGGTTGTTTTGACCCAGCGGTTGGGTTACTACCCAGATTTTTTCAAGTAACTAGTAAAGTAACGCATTACTTTTTAATTTACAAGAGAATATCTGAGTTACTTTTTCAAATAAATAACGCAAGTTACTTTTTTTTTTCCCAATTTATTGACTGACAGCTCTCCTGTCCTCATGCTGAGAGAAATCAGAAGATGCTAGTGTAGTTCTAAAATAAATATGAATATGCATTAATTCATCTCACTCACAAAAAACAACAACACATATTCAGTATTCCTCAAAATTAATAAAAATAATGGAACTCAGAATATGACGCAAACCTGCAATAATTAAATGTTAAACAACACAAATATATTTTATGTATTTAATCCCATTCTATTAACCAATGTCTTTGCTTCTGACCTTCGATGATCCAGTTCAACCGTACTAATAAGCACAAATTACTCTAGACACACATTTGTGTCTTTTTTTTTATTGCTGAAGTGTGTTGAAATGTCTTCTTCTGCATTCTACTGTACGGACGTACATTTACTTTCCCTTCAGCCTGAGGCTTATTCATTTCACTTTTGGTGTGAAAAGGCTTTTATATTTGCCAAAAATATAATTTTTTTTTTTGTAATAAAAAAACAAACAAGCAAGCCCTGTCCATATTTAAAAAGTAACGCAAAAGTAACGTAACGCAATACTTTCCATAAAAAGTAACTAAGTAACTTTTTTTTATGGAGTAACGCAATATTATAATGCATTACTTTTAAAAGTAACTTTCCCCAACACTGCTCGTAGAGCTGTTACAGGTACAGGTTAGACCGTAACCACACTTTTCATCAGTATAGTCAGCTCAAATGTATTTGTTTAGCACCTTTCACAATGCACATCATTTCAAAGCAGCTTCGCAGAAACTCAAGATGCTAATGTTTATAAGATCTTCATGCCTTATAGTTGTCTTTAGCACATTTTGCAGTGATAAAAGCAATCAGGCAGTATACCATTTGCTATTAGACATTACTGTCATCCAAAAAGAAACGAAATGACTGATTGTTGAAGATTCTTACACTTTTATTAAAAGAAATCCTGTATGATTTGACAGTTGTTGGTGGAAACTTTGGTTACCAAGGAGACAACAGTGATCTGAGAAATGTGTACGGTTTTATCAATATAGACTGTTTTAATCGCAGGAGTTGACCTAATTGATTCCCTTTCGGCAGTCCACCGGGATGATTAGACTATTGATTAGATGTTTTGATCTTGATCATGCTCTGTAACACACGTAATGAGTTGTGGCACGCATTGAATGTAGTTTCACACTCTGAAAGAAAGCTGTTGTCGGAGTCGATAACATTGTGGGGTGTTTCTCCCACACTTTGCATTTTGTTCAAGTCTCTGCTTGTGGTCCTTTTCTTGATCCCATCCCACTGCACTGTCAAAATAATGCTAAAGAAAGCCAATGCTTTGAACATGGACATTCAGAAGAAAACTGCATTGCAAAGAGCATTCAGCTATATCGTATTACACCACTGGTTTCTTTAACCGCTATTCACCGACTCCATCCGCCAAAAGACTTTGTCTGTCGAAAGCAATAATGGCTCAAGAACTTGGGGCGAAAGGCAGAAGAGGTTAGTACTCGGAGCTGGTGGAGAAAAAAATGGTATGGAGCCGTCTGCAATGAGGAACGATGCATCTGGAAAAATTCAGTTGATGCACTTCATGCATATGGAATGTTGATAATTTTTTAATGCTTCTCATATTACGTACATAGATCATTAGTTTACAATCATTAGGGTTATGAGCTGACAAACGTGTGAGTGAGGATTTCTTGACCTAACTTGCCACATGTCTGTGAGTCCTGTCCTCGTACATGTGTTCACAGCAACCTTTGACTGCGCTGAAGTAATTAACAGTTTCCCCACAGCGCTTTTTGAATTTGTTTCACTCCTTAAAGTCACAAGTCTAGTCGATGAATGCATGGAGACTGATCTCTAGTTTGCTAAAGTTCCCACAAAAATGATGCTCAAGTGCTTTGTGTATCTTATTTCTGCCGTCCTAGAAAGTCTTGTGTCTTTCTCGCGTTACTGCTTAAACTTAAAAGCTGCCGCTATTATGTGCTGTCAAAATAAAAATAATTCTAAAATGTGATTTTTATGGTTCACTCTCAGAAGGCAAGGTACAAACGCTGTCACTGGGGCGATTGGCCTTTTCAAAAGATGCTATGTACCTTTAAGGAACCGATATGCAACATTTAGCGTTAAATAAGGTACAAATTTGTACCATTTAAAAAGGATACCACCTCAGTGACAGCTTTTGTACCTTCTTTCCAGAGTGTAGTTGCTAATACTAGTACGTAGTATGTATGACTAACTACTTTTTCTTTAATGCACTAAAATTACAGTTCTGGTTAATCCGTACACATTAGGAAGTATATTAGAGAGCAAATTGCAAACGAAACCAGAACTGTATGCATTAATCTTGTGGTGTATTCTGTAAATGACGGACCCAGAAAAACTTTTACAATTTTTATCACAAATACTTTTAAAGATTTGTTTATAGAGATGTATGTACAAAATCTTGAGTTTTATAACATGCTTGTTTTTATTATAGTGCATGTTGAGTGTTTAATCTGCTGTGTAATAGCTGATATGTCGATACATTTTAATGCAACAAGCAACCGTTCTGAAAACGACAAAACATACTGAAATGTGAACATAACTTAAAGAAAGTGTATGAGTTCAGACTGTCTTATCCCTATTTTGGATGTATATTACAATTTAATGCTTTTGAAAATGTACAAAAATATAGCAATATTTTCCCATTAGGTTTAAGCAGATGACGTGAAATAAAAATGTAATATTTACAAATTAAAGGATATGAGAATTAATCCATACTTATGTCAGGAATAGACATTATAGAGAATATCAGTAGCCAAAGTGCTTTGACCTCCACGAGAAGTCTATAAAGGAAATAAAAAAAGGTAAAGAAAAGCCAAGTTGTAATGGTGTGTTTGTATGTGCCAGCGTTTTTATCCATGCAAGTTCAAGTCACTTTCTGCAGAAAAATGAATTCATAATATAGCTAAATAACCAAAGGGAGCATGAAAGCTTACTTTGCATTTACCAATGCATACTGTGAATGAAAATATACACCTACCAATAGCTTCTGCAGATCTTCACAAATCTTACTTTGCTTGTGCAAATACTTTTGCAATCTTGTAACTTTCATAAAAAAAAAAAAATTGTAAGAGTCTTTTTTGTAAGGAGCTGAAAAACCCAGAGCTTTTTGAGTGACAATGATGAGAACTATTGATCATCTAACAACTTTTATTTTGTGAACAAAGGCAATTAAAATAGAGTTTTCAAAGACAGCTCTGTCAAAACCCTCTCGTCTTGATTATTAGACTGCTTTGTATTCCAAGAGGCAGAACAAATCTCTACAGGTCAGATTTCTTACAAAAAAGAAGGCGCGCTAGTGTCCGCTGCGTTCCTGTCGCTGTGTTCAGCTGGTGAGGTGTGCTGGAATGCCACAGATTCCTCTGAAAACACAAACCGCTTGCATGGCCATCGTCACTCATCGATTCACTAATGAAGGCTAAAATGTTGGAGAGGAAAAAGTGCATGTTCCTGTAGAAGTGTTTCTCAGCAGATAATCTGTGTGAAAAGAGATGGCAGAAATGCTCGCTGCACAGATGACTGTCAGACGATGAGTGTGCATGAATGTTTTTGTTCAGTGCTTTAATTCTAGATTCATTCAAGATTTTTTTTATTTGTCACATACTCAGTTATATATATATATATATATATATATGGTACATAACCAGTAGTGAAATGTAAGTTAGGTCCGCTCCATAGTTTGTGCAATTTTAGACAAGTATAAGACCAGACGTTGAGAAGAGTTGACGTGATTTTGGTGACGCTGGAATTGAAAATAATACACTTGTTTGGACTTTTTTGGAAAGACACTGAATGGAAATGTGAGACTTTGAATGGCACATGTATCTCTAAATGAAATTTGGATGGGACTTTTAATGAAAGTCATTTGTGCTCTAGATGGATGGATGCAGGGACTAAAATTAACACCTGCCAAGCACCAAATGTGAGTAAAAATCAGCGTGGGTGAGTAAATGAAACCGTGTTACTCGCCAGTTGGCCGGTAACTTTTAAAAATCAATTCTAACAGTTCTTGAGATGATATGGTTTAGTGTTATTATTATATATGATGTGATATAAATATGTACTGCACTGTGATCTTTTCACATGAGCTGTTCATGTGCAATTTTTTTGCACATGTGTCTCGATCGCAGTAAATGTAATTCTACAAACTTTAAATTATTTGTTATTAAATATTTTGTAGTTCAGTAGTGTTAGTGATATTTATTGATTTAAATTTTTTATAATAAAATTGATTAACTAATTATTGCAAAAAAGATCTGCCTGTTTTTATTTTTATGATATTTTTTTTATGAAACAACGCACATAGTTTCATGGCTGGTAAAAAAAAAAGGTAGGTCCTGGAATAACACAATAAAACTTAGATTGTCTCATTAGTCATCTTTAATCTCATTTATTATCAGTACAGTACAATAAACCTAAATGGAATTTGTACATGTGTGTATGTTTCTGAAGCTGTGCATGCATAAAACCCTTTGTTACATGCCGTTACTATGTTAACTTTGTACGCTTCAGTGGTGCTAAAGCGACGGTTCATACAAATATCTGTGAATCCTAATAAACCATGTTAGTGAAATGAGCTTGGTGGATTACAGAGAAATGCAAGCGTAAAACCAAGCTTCGCAACCGCACCCTTTTTCTCCATCATAATCCTGACATTTAAAGTCATGCACAAAGACACTGTGCATGTTAAGTGAAGTGTTAGCAGCTGTGTTGCACACCTAATGTAAGTGTTGGTGAACGGGACACATTAGCAGCGTTTGAGAGAAGAGTGTTTTAAACACACAGGTGTGAGTGATGGATGGCAGCGAGAGGCCTTCTGTTCTGTATGAAGTGCTGTGTTGGAGCGGTGGATAGCAGGCTGATGAATGGTTAAAGGTCTTGTAGCTCCATCTATCAGGGACTAGCATTGACCTGTGAGACTCTCCGGCGGCCCCGGGCTCCTGCACCAGAAGAAACGTCTGCATTAACATACATCGAGACCACAGGCTCTTCAGAGGCTAACGAGATCATATATTTGTGCTCCTCTGTGGGAATTTCTAATTAATTTGATTGTTTTAGCTGAGAGGAAGTGCACGCAGATATTGGCAGGGAATGTTGCATATATTGTGTGTGTGTTGGTCAAGATAGTACTAGAGTCAGCTGTCTTGAAGTACAAGTAGGGCTGGGCTCTATGGCCAATTTTTTTTCTCGCCATATCATACTATATATTGATATTTATCAGGATATTCATTTACCTTTAAAGGGACGGTTCACCCAAGAATGAAAATTGTCATCATTTGCTGACCCTAGTTGTTCAAACCTGTGTGAGTTTCTTTCTTCTGTTGAACACAAAAGAAGATATTTTGAAGAATGTTGGAAACCAAACAGTTGATGTGTCCTGTGTATTTTTTTCCCCCCATACTATGGAAGTCAATGGCTACCGTCTATATTCTATATACACCCCTTAGGGGTAAAAAGGTACAAAAGTGTACCCTCCGAGTGACCGCTTTTGTACTTTTTATTTTATTTATTTTTTTTTCCTGAGAGTGTTGAACAAAATTAGCTGCATTTAATGTTTTCATTGCAACTTCCCCCCCAACCACCCCCCGCCCCCAGATATTTGCCCCTTATGCTTTTCCATTTCCCTAAATTGATGATGAAATCAAAGGTGCCCTCTATTTCTTTATGGATGTGAACATGAACAGATGCAGAAAGCCACATGGCTGTGGTGTTTAATTCTTTCCCTCCCTCTTGATTGGCACTGATTCGTTCCATTTTAAACAGGCGTGTGAATAAAGAGGCATGACCGTCCTGCTATAGATGCGATGCTAAAGCGAGTGTGTTGATCATCCAGGCGAGCAGGAGCATGGTTGCTGATTGCTCAGGGTTTTAATTATGGAAATCAGGAGCTCTTAAGAGTGCTCAAATCTTTGAGCTATTTGTTAATGGTGAAAGTCATAAAAATTATACATTGAGTTTTGTTGCACTGCAGCCAGAGATTTGTTTAACACTTGTGGTCGTATACAGTAACATTTAACATGCATGGAATTGAAAAACAATTTCTGCATTATAAGTACAGACAGCACATTTTATTGGCATTTATAATGTCAAATTAATACATAACAAAAACGGGTAGCCTTTAAAAAGTAACAAATGTTCATTTGCTGTGAAAAAAAAAAACTCTTATTTTTTTGTCCCCCATTGCCAGTAGGTTATCACTGCACAAATCTAAGACATTCTTTTTCGCGTTTAGACCGGTTTAGACAGCGTTTCCCCACAATTTTATCAATAAAATTGCTTAATCGCTGAAGAGCTACATTATCTTTCTCAACAAGGAGCTGGAAACATCATCGTTTCTAAAGCAATTAAAGCTACAGCTTCACTGTTAATAAAGAAACGCGGCAAAACAGTGGTAATTCATACATGCACAGCCCCCCCCCCCCCCCCCCCCCCCCCAAATAAATGTGGGCTTATAGGGTCACTTCCATTATTTACTGTTGCAGGCGAGGAGTATTTCTTGTTTTGTGTGTTGTGATGTTTTAAAGACCTTCATTAACTGTCAAGATGTTGAGAACAAATTAATACATTTACGCTTCCCCCCCCCCCTATTTTTGTAAAACTGCTTTAAACATCCCTCAGGAAGCTTTTTTGTTGTTGTATGCATTATAAAATTGGTTTAAAATATAGGTTGTGTGCTTTATCACTGCCACCTATTATTGGTTGTCGACTGACACTGCAAAGGCCGATATATCGGCCGATATTTGGCATTTTGTAGTTATCGGCATCGGCCGATAATGGAAGCGAAACTTTTATGCTTCCTTTTTATTATTATTTTTTTTAATCTCAACTTGTGAATTTCTCTAATTCTATAATAGAATTACGGAATCAAAAAGTTGCATCTAAAAAAAATCTCTTCATTTTAAATTTTTATAATTTTTGTAAATATATTATGTAAAATAAATATAAATTTTATTTCAGCAATTGTTATGCATGTATTTTAACTATTTGTAAATTAAATAGTAGGATATCATATGTATCGGCCACAGATATCGGCAATCAAAAAATCCATATCAGCTTTTAGCATTGCTACATGCCATATTAACACATTTTTATGCTATTTTACACACTTACGAAGCGAGATTAATTAAAAGGTCTCCTAGGCAGTTTTTTTTCCCATTTAGCTGTTCTGTGTTTTTTTTTTTTTTTCTCTCCAGAAAACACATCATCATCTTGTATTGCTGAAGCAGAAAAAGCTCTTGAAGCGGCAGGTACTTGGGTTGGGTTCACCGTGCCACTCTTCAGTTGAAAAACCTTAAGTCAGACATTTTTATTACTTTGCAAGTTAATTTAATCAGTCTTGGTCACACTCATGGGTATCTTAGGAAATAATGAACTATACTAAATGTTAGAGTTTTCAGCTCAGCTCTACTTTTCTGTAGTGTAGAGAAAGCGCATGGTTGCCAGGTTGGGAAGATTAAGTAAACCACTGGGCAAAAAAATGTGTCTGTTTAAGAGAAAAGCTCTGATTGGAGGATTTGAACTCTTGACATCTACCATGAAAGCTTGTGGAGGCTTGTACCCAATGCAAGATAATGCAAATGCCAAATTAAAATGAAGCGTTTTCAATATAAATAACCAACAGGCAAACATCGCAGACAATTATTAAGCTTAGTAAATCGAGAGAAGCAGAAATCGCGATTAAAATGCGATTCATTGTGCAGCCCGACTAAACAAATGGATCTGCTCTAAAGTCTAAAGATGAATAGTGCTGATCGCTTCCTTTTTTATTTTTATTTTTTTTCTCAAAACACAAACCTTGTTCCCATCTTGTCCTCTTCACCTAAGGCTGGTTATAATGCTCTTTTCCTGAGCTGTCACAGGCTATGCTAACAACCAAATAGTTATCTTGGAAAACACTAATAATGACTGTGAAATATTTAATAATTTGTTTTTGACTGGGACCCGCAGCATTGCCTTGTTCTTTCTGCGGTAACTAAGGGAAGCTGCACGGATACAAGAAGGAATTGTGTTCTGGGGGACAGAAGAGGGAAAAGCAGGAGTGGAGGATTGGGAGCAGAAAATGAATTCGAGTCTTGCCATCCAGCAGAGGCTTTTCTTTTGTCCATTTGTCATGAAAGTTATTTTCTTTCTTTTTGAATTTCAACTCAATAGATATAAATCTAGTGAAGTTGTGGTGACTGCACTTTTGTTATGCTTTTCTTTGGCATTTATGAACGGAACATTGGTAAAAGAGCAAAGTAACTGAAGTACATTTGAAAGAGTAGTGTCTTCATTATTAGTGTGAAATGTAATGCATTGCTTATTCATGTTAAGAAAGATGGATGTTAAGAAAGTTTTGGTTACACTTTACAAAGAGGTTTTTTTTTGTCAACATTAGTTATCATGAACTAGCGAAAGCTTCTAAAGCATTTATCATTCTTAGTTTGTTAAAGGGATGGTTCACCCAAAACTGAAGATTTGCTGTTAATTTACTCAGCCTCAGGCCATCCAAGAGGTGACTGTTTTTCTTCAGTAGAACCGTAAAGAAGATTTTTAGCTAAAACCGTGCTCCTTGGTGATTCAGAAAATGCAAGTCAATGGCTACCGTCACTGTGAGAGTCAAAAAAAACATATCGGACAACACAAAATGAATACCCGTGACTCCTGAACATATATATATTGAGGTCTTATGAAGCAGAACGATCTCTCTGTGTAAGAAACTAAATATTATTTACAACATTATTACCTCCAGAGCCTCAGGCAAACGGTCCAGAGTGATGAATCCCGAACGAATCATTCTTTTGAACCGGTTCATCGGACTGAACAGTCTGAATCAGTTCGGGGCTCAAGCAGCACAGATCTACAAGTTACTCAATTAAAAGTCTCTTTTGGATGCCTGACAGTCACTCGAATTGGAAACAAGCCAAAATACCGGCATATAAA